GTGCTTAAGTGCCACCCCCTAGGGCACCCCAATCCAGGCAAGTGCACCTTTGTTCTCTCTGTACTCCCCTCCCGTGCCTTCTGCAGCATTTCCCTCACTTCTGGCCCATTGGAAACCGTCAGCTGGTTCTGCCTCATCTAAAGATGAAGTGAGCTGTCAGCATCCCCAAGCAGCTCACTGGGCTTTGGCTCTTAGACTCACTGAGTGGATGGGGGCAGCAATCATCCCTGTGTCACAGATCTTCCCCTCACTAAAGAGTGATGCACCTTCCCATGCACCTTCACTCGTGAAAGTCTTTGCCAGATCTCCACCTAGTCACACTGCTCATGCCATCTTGAAGGATTGGCTGTATGTTAGCTGTGCCTTTTAACTTTCCAATGTCTGGATGTGTGGGGCCTTTCTCATCCTGGAGCACCCTGACCAGCTCTGTCAAAGGTTAACTCATTCCCAGTCATAAGAGGCTTGGCTGCATGCTTTAATCACAAACCAACCAATCTAGAGGCCATACCTTAACCACATTTTAATTCTATTCCTAGATTAGACTCTTAACTAGCAACTATCCATTGGCTATGATCACCCCAGGACTGAGTAGCAGATAACAACTGGGGACAGCTCCAAGCCTCCACACTAGTTGACCCCGAATCTTCCTCCTATGCCTCAACTAGTCTCCCCTGAAGAAACTGCTATAAGGGATCCTGCATGCACTGTCCCCTTCCTCCCTGCTCTCTGGTCCTTTCTCATACGGCCCTATGGGCTGTTGTGTGATCCTTCCTCTGCAGAATTGTGAGCAATAAACTATTTTTCTTACTGACATCCGCAGCTGTCTTGGCTCCACTCTACCTGGATAAGTGTAAACTTTACCTTTGAGAACACAGGCTTCTTCCACTGCCTTCAGCACTGGGACCTCTGCAGCAGCTGATCTCATGCCATCACCTCCAAACTCCAATGACAAGAGGGGGCTCTGGGCTCCCTACTCCTGAGCCCCTCCAATTCAAAGACTCAGCCCCAGTCACAGCATCCTCTCTTATCCTCACGAGTCACATTGGGTCCACTGACAAATCTCCATGGGGTCACTTCCAAAACACCTCTCCAATCAGACGTGCGAGTCTACTGTCCCTGTGTGTAGGTACTGCCTCACTTCACACAACCCAATGCACAGTGCCTGCCTCTGTCTAACAGCGCAAAAGGACAGATCTTAGAGCATAGGTGTGCTGGGTAGTTTTACATCAACTAGACACAAACTAAAGGCATCTGAGAAGAGGGAACCTCATTTAAGAAAATGTCTCCAGTGGCTGGAGTGACAGCTCAGAAGTTAAGAGCACAGGCTGCTCTTCCAGGGGTCCTGAGTTTTTCTCAGCAACCACATGGCAGCTCACAACCATCTATAATGAGATTTGGTGTCCTCTTCTGGCATGCAGACATACATGCAGGCAGAACACTGCATCCATAATAAATAAATAAATCTTAAAAAATAAAAAGAAATGAAGATGTTTAAAAAAGAAAAAGAAAAGAAAAGGTCCCCATAAGATCGGGTGGTAGGCAAGCCTGCCAGTAAGTAGCATTCCTCTGTGGCCTCTGCATCAATTCTTGCCCCCAGGTTCCTGCCCTCTTTGAGTTCCTGTCCTCACTTCCTTGAATGATGAACAGTGATATAGAAATGTAAGCCCAATAAACCCTTTCCTCCCCAGGTTACTTTGGTCGTGGTGTTTCATCACAGCAATAGAAACCCTGACTAAGATGATATCGGTATCAGAATAGTGGATATTGCTGTGAAAGACCTGACCATGTGTTTTGGGGATAATTGTAGGATTTCAGAACTCTGGGCCAGAAAAGCCACTGTGACCGGTGAGAGCATGGAAGATAAAAATGTTGAAAGCAGTGCAGACAATGGAGGCCTGGCTTGTGACATTTCAGAGGAAAGCAAAGACTCTAGTAGAAAATTTGTGTGAAGAATCTGTGGCGTCTGGTCAGCTGGAGCAGAAGAATCGGCTGCGAATAACAAGAGACCGGAGCCACTAAAGGAAAACCTTTGCTTTGCTGGGACGATGCATGCTGGTCGGCTGGGGTTGAATTTTGTCTGTGAGCTCATCCTTGTCAAGAATTTCCTTCCATGGGGCCTTGTGTGCCTCCTTGGGGTGCTTTGTTGACTCTAGAAGGTCAGAGTATCTCAGCCTTGGCAAGTGTCTAAAATTTGTGTATGCATGCGCGGTTCAGACTTCAAAGCTTTGATTTTTTTTTTTTTTTTTTTTTTTTTTAGAGAAAATTTTTTTTCTGTTCCCAGTTCAGGGAGTCAGCCAGCTGTGGGTGGAGACCCTGTGGTGAGGAAAGTCTTTCTAGTCTTTGATTCTTGAATTTCTTTAAGGAGCTGAGTTCTAATTGTATACCAAGCCTGTATTTAGTCTTTTCTCTGTTACTCAAACAAAATATCTGTGCCAGGGCAACATAGAAAACCCACAGTTTTGAAGGCTGATAGTTAGACCTCTGGTGAAGAGCTAAGGTGGATGGAATCACAGTAACAGAATGTGTGTGACAGAGATGGCAAGAGGGACATCTGAGAGCTTTAAGGGTTAGGTTACTCACGGAATGTGTCAATCCCATGGGCATACACCTAATGACCAAACCATGAAACCCTAAACTTTCAATACCACCACATTGAAAACTAAGCCTCAGGCATAAGAATAGGTGTGGAACAACCCACATCCAAACCACATGTTGTTTGAATCTAGTGTCCCCACAGGCTCATGTTTTAAACACTTGATGCCACCTTGGCGGTACTATTTTGGGAGGCTCTGGAAAGTTGGGAGGAGGTAGGCTATTCAGGGTGAGTCCTTGGGGGTTTATCCATGCTCACTTCCTAGTCTACTTGACTGTGATGTGGACAATGTCTGCCATCACCCCCACCACCGTGAACTGAACTGGTTGGACATACCTTCCTTCTGTGATGGACTGAGACTCTCTGAACCAATGGGCCACAGTAAACCCTTCTTTCCTCAATATGTTTCTGTCAGGTACCAGGTTAGCACTGAGGAGCAACAAATACATCCAAGAGCTCAGTTCTAGCCGGTGGGCAGGTTCCTAGGCTGCCGTCAGATTTGGAAACCTCATGCTGCCCCCATGACGGCTCTGTCGGAATCCCCTCCTTCCAGTGCAGCTCAGCACAGTATTTTTGTGGTGATTTGTTTTATTCATCAGCCATATGCATATAGAAAGGCCTCTGTCTGTCTGTCTGTCTGTCTGTCTGTCTACCACCTTGACTAGCAGATCCCTTCCACACTTTTATCTTCATGGCTCGACCCCACCACTTGCTGATTGAGGATTCTGCCTTGGGCAACTGGTTTGCTGTCTTTCATAGCTCCTGGGCTTCTCAGCCTGCTCCTTAGAGAGTGAGCAACCACCTAGCATGCTGCCAGGCACCCTGAGTGCAGAGAGTAAATATCTTCTTGCTAAAGAAAAGTGTGTCACTTCCTGTACTTTGCCACCAACAGCTGTTGTGCTGGCTGATGCTACCAATCACCTCTCCCTCCAGCAACCACTGAAGCAAGTCTGTCAAAAACCCAGCCAACAGGAGGAGATGGCAGGAAAGTGGTCATGAGAGAGGTGAGGAGAAAGGACAGGCAGGCACACAGTGTGCAAAGCCACTGATTCCCAAAGAGCCTTCCAAGCCTAGTAGGAAAAGACTGGATACATTTCTCCCCAAAATTGTTGCGGTTCCTTCACACAGGTTTCTATGAAGGGCTGAAACAACAACTGTAGTAGCGGTAGTTAATACTTATAGGAATTAAGACCTGACACATCTGAGTTATCTCAAATACTACCAATATAAATATAAAACATAATAATCACGTTGATCATAAACATCAACATATGTGATACTAGGTGACAGGCATCAATCAAGGTGTCTCTACTAATTCTCCCAACCCAATTATTTACTATTACGACTTAGGGCACTGATGAACTTGACGGGCAGAGGTTAAACAACTTGCCCAAGGTTACAAGCCTATGCGGTGGTAGAACTCTAAGCTCTATCTCCAAGTCTCCCTCCAGACTGCCCCCTCATGTGCCTTTTTGTATCAGTCATTTTAGTCTTTAAAAGAACCCCAGGTAGAATGATTATGATCCACTTTTTATAGCTCTGAGGAAGCAGGGAATTAGAGAGGCATGGAACAAATTCCTGGGGCTGGACTAGCTAGAGCTAAGCATGGGGCGTGGTACCTTCCATCACACACAGGCGTACAGCACATGTTAAAAAGTCCCTAGGTGTCTCTCAGAAATAAAAACAATTTGTTTTTTTAATTCTGTACAGTTTAAAAAGTTTTTCTTCTTACAGCATATTCATACTCCTTAGACAGTGAGGTCATACCCCAAACAGTTTATTCAATAACCCCACCCACCCAAAGTTGATAACTCAAAAACTTGTTACATGATGGTTTTTAAAAGTCATATTAATTAATCTTAAGCACAATGAACAAATTTTTTTGTAAGGGATTATATAATAAGTATTTTCAGCTGTGTGGGCCACACCATTGCTGACACGGTAATTAGCGGCAATGCATTTGTGAACACATGAGAATGACTATCTTCCAATAAATCATTATTTGCAAAAGAAGATGACGATCAGATTTGGGCAATGGGCTGAAGTTTGTTCATCCCTCACCTAGATGAGGGATAGGAGATAGAGAGCTTTACTAAATCATTCCTTCAGCACCTCCCTCCACACGTCCCATTCTAATACAAGACCTTCCCACCATTTATAGGTTAAGTCCATTTATAGGCATTCATTTCAAGGTACTATGTGATAGACAGAAGCAGATCAGTGTGAAGCCATGGGTAGCTATTGGAGTTGGGGAATGGGACAAAGGGTCTCATTCCACCGTATGAACACTGTAAATAGTTAATAAGGGGTGGAAGTGTGTGTGTGTGTGTGTGTGTGTGTGTGTGTGTGTGTGTTTGTCAGAAAATTCATGTTAACACCATGGAAGGACATCATGAAGGATACTCACGACCAGTAGAGCAGCATGAGCAGGAAGGGACAGATGATTAGGGCCTGCAGCACCTGCCAGTCCCGGCACAGCGCGGCCAGCCCTGGCATGAGGAACTGGCCTGCCATGGCCACGAAGCTTGCCACCATGGTAATCATGAACCGTTTTCCTGGAGGGCACAGTTCTATTCCTAGAAAACAAACAATAAGAGAGACATGAGCGCTGTTTGCTGGATGACTGGGGAGCCCCGTGCTAGAAGGTCATTGGATACATGGGGGAACTGAGGCCTGATGGGGAAGGGAGTGAGGTCACTGCTCAAGGTCACAAAATAAGCTGGTGGGAAGGACATTGCATTTCTAAGTGCTTAGCTCAGGAACTAAGCTATGCTGTTTGTGGAGACAGAGTTTGCATCCTCGTCATCACCTTTCCTTTGCTCTTTTGGCACTGCAGAGCTTGCTGGGCAGCAAGTCCCCTTGCTGCCCACGCCATCACCTTCCCTTTCAACCTAGGATATGCACTGGGAGCCCTCTCAGCCTCTGCATCCGTACTCCTCGTCTTACACCAGTACTCAGTGAAGACTTAAGTTCGTCTCCACTGTGAAACCAGGACAGACTGGCCACACTGTACAGAACCAAAGCAAAGCCACCTGGGGCTCACGATGACCTAGCAGGAATGCTCCTGCACCATTCTGAATCCTACTGTCCATTAGCACGGGCATGTGGCATGTTCTTTCCCGACAGGGGCCATGTCTAATTCACCAACTGAGCTGCACAATAGAAAAAAAGAATCCATCTTCAACCAAGACCCACTAAATGGAATAGACCACGATCCCTCCTGTCCACAAGAACCCATTCTCTGAATTTGACCCTTGTTTAAAAAAAAAAGCGAAACAAAACAAAAAACCTCTCAAAACTTTAAACTTTCTGGAACACTCATGGGACAATCAATATGGACCTAACAATGGTCCTTAATATTAGAAAAAGTAGTTGGGTACTCTCCATACACACACACACACACACACACACACACGCACGCACGCACACACACACACACACACACGCACACACCACCTATAGACAATGCAGATTTATTTGCTGTTGTTTTTCCACATTGTGCAATAGTCACTAATTTTTTTCTTTCTTGCTTTCTGTTGGCAGGGGTGGGGGGAGCCGTTCAAATGATTAAAAGAGAAAAGGAAGAAAGGCCCCTTGGGAGAAAACACTCTTACTACCTTCATGTCCAGAGCCTGTTCCACAGCTTGGCCTTGAGGCTTAGTTACAGTAGCTTATCTGCAGGCTGTCCAGAGACCACAGCGGGGCAGCAGGTCAAAGGCAGTAGGCAGGGGACAGATGAAAAGGAAAGTGGATAAATCACACTTGGCTACAAGGATATCATCAGTCCTAACGAGCGCAGGGCACTGTGCCAGCCAGCATCTACACTGGCTCGCTGCAGAAGAAATATAATCCTGTTAGCAATTTCTGTTCCTTCCTGGCCACAAATAGTCATTATCATAACTGCTGGCGAACAGGAGAAACCTGCTCTCACTGCACAGAGCTTATAAGGGACGTTTCTGTCATTTAACTAGGAAAAGAGGACGGCAGGGCCCTCCTGGACCATTTGCTGTGATGCTGTCCCTGTCTGTGACACTTAAGTGATACTTCTTAGCATGGTAGGGTGTGCCATTTCTGCTCTCCAAAACAACAAAGGGACATCTTTTCTGAATGGAATAACAGCGTGGTTTCTAATTTTCACTCAGTAAGCACAAGGAGACTTGTTTTGGAAATCAGGAATCTATATCAGCCAGAGTAGGCTTGGTGTGGGAGGTCTGACAGACATCAAGAAAAAAATCGAGCACACCTTTAAAAAAGGCCAGAGGGATGAAGTTGGAGGAGCCTGATGGATTCGTGCCAATGGGTTTGCTAGTGCCGCAGACTGTGTACTGGTGCTTTTTTTCTTCACTACTTTAGTTTAGTGACACAATTGTGTGAAAACACCTACAACGGCGCTGGTGCTCCACTGTCTCAGGTTTTGTTTCCCATACTTGAGTTTCCCAGAGTCAACAACAATCTAAAAATATTAAATGGAAATTCCGTAAGTAAACAACTCACAAATTTTAAAAATAGGTATTTATAATGATTGAGCATACGTGTGCATGCACATGACGTGGTGTGGGTGCCACACTCTACATGTGGATGTCAGAGGATATCTTTGTAGAGTACGTCCTCTCCTCCCACCTTTACGTGGGTTTCTGGGCTCAAACTCAGGTTGCCAGGCTTGCATAGCAAGCAGTCTTACCTACTCTACAACCGTTTCACTTTAAGTCATACCTAATTCTGAGAAGCATGATGGGATCACTGGGGTGAATCAGCTTTCTGCCTAACATATCCATACTGGGCAAGTCGCCTGCTAGGAGTCATTCAGTAACGTCTCAGTTTTCAGACTGACTACCATGCTATTACATTTCACAGGTGTGTGCGTACGTGTATTATTTCTCTGCACGACATATCCATGGCATGTCAGTTACCTGCTTACTAGTCGCTCAGTGGCGTCTCAGTTTTCAGACTGACTGCCATGCCATTACAGTTCACAGATGTGTGTGTGTGTGTTTCTCTGTATGGCATACCCATGGTATATAAGTTACCTGCTTGCTGGTCACTAAGTGATGCCTTGGTTTTCAGGCTGACCGCAACGCCACAGCCCAGGGGTATGAATCACCCCTCTGTCCGACATACCTACGCTGTATCCTGACTGCTCAACACTGAGCAGTTTCAGTTTTCAGAGTACCTGATGTGCCATCCCACTCCACGAGAGTGAATCACCCCTCTTTCCTACATGCCCACTCCACAGAAGAACTTGCCGTTGGCCATTCAGTAACATTTCACTTGCCTGAAGGAGCCTGTGGTACTGCAGAGATTGTGCTCAGGTGACCCTTATTTTAAACCTCATAATGGCCATGAACTTAAGGAATAGTGATGCTGGGAATTCAGATATACAAGGAGTTGCAATAACGGGCTCATTTTAAGAGGACAGATGAGTATTTACAGATAAGAAAAAGACATGTGGAGGTTGCTAAGACTGATGGGAAGGAAGCAGCACAGTGTTCCCAGGGCGTGGTGCTTGCCCAACTTTCAGGCTTCCCCTATGGTCTTGGGATACATCGCCACACATGAGGAAGGGTGGGGACTAACTTCAATCCTTTCAGCACAGCTCTCTTGGTGATACCTAGTCCCACACACTAAACTCTAGTTCCGTGTAGTCAGGAAAGAACAGTGAGGAAACCTCTGAGATCATGACCAACATTTGAAGGGGAGTGAGGAAAATGGCACCTTGATGGGCAAAGCCACTCTGTAATCCCCCCCGGCTGCAAATGTGATAGCTACTGAATTATTGGTGTGACTATCAGCATGACAACTGTTAACACTTCTAACTTTCCTTGTGGAGGTCCCCCTCTGTAAGAGGCTGAATGCTCCACTTCTTGTGTCCCAAGCAGGAGCCACAGACCTGCAGCGTCCGCATCATACGCAGATGGGCCAGGCCTGTGGTGCCTACCTTTGAACAAGCTCCTCAGGCTTAGCTCTCTAATTGCCCCTCACAGAACATAGAGGGTGAAGCAGTTCACTGTCTTCTGACCTCTCCACCCTGCTTGTGGTTGGAATCCCAGCACAGACTTGATCTGACTGCATCAGACAGAGGTACCGTGGGCCAGCGAGAATCTGCTAGCCTTGCTTTTCTGCGGGGGAGTCAGTGACCTCGGCAGGGCACAGGTGTGATCATTTGCTGATGACTACCTTTTTTGTGCCTTATCTCACCAGAAATTCTTTCCCAACTGCTTGAATCTAACTATGCCATGACGTTAGCTATAAAAATGTGAAGGAAAGGAAAAGCAATTATCAGGTTCCACATGCATTTTAGGCTTGTCATTGATTGCGGCGTTCCTTTTGGATGGTGAGAGATCAGGCTTTTTTGAAAGGGCACAAAAAGCATCTCTGTGCACTTCGAGCACGAGTCCTATGCATCATTACTACAAATGATGGTCCAGCTATCCCTCAGCCTCCGGTCTCATCATCCACAGTGAGATGTATTTAGTCTTATTTATTGTTCACCTGATCCAGAGATTTTTTTTTCAGAGTAGGCATGAAATTTGTTCTATAAGACAAGAGGGAAAATGTTCCTTTATGCTCCTCTGTCTATTTTATTCCATGGAAGGTCAGAACTGTGGTGTTGGGGTGTAGCTCAATGGTTCAGCACTTTCCCAGTATAGGACTCTTTATTCCCAGCATTGCAAGAAGCCAGACAAAAACACCAAAAGAACAAGAAATAGAAATAGCTTAATCCAAGAAGACCACATCAAAAAATCCCATTATTCAAACACCTTTTCCTCTCAGACTGTAATGGAGAAGGGTTGCAGGCGACCCTTAGAAAGTGGCTATGATTGCTAATCCTCACAGTCAACCTGACTGAGCTTGAGCATCAAGGAGACACAGCCCTGGACATGTCTGCAAGGGCATTTCCAGAAAATTTTAACTGAGGAGAGAAGATGCACCTTGAGTGCAGATGACACTATTTATTTCATGAGCTGGGGTTCCAGAGGGATCAGAAAAAGGAGGAAGCCAGTTGGACAACAGCAGTCATGTGACCAGCCACCTCACCCTCAGGCCCCACAGCCAGGACCTCTTGACTGTGAGCCCACAGGAGCCCTTCCTTCAGTTGCTTTTGTGAGGTATTTGGTGTCAACATTGAGTAAGGAATATATTAGCTATGCTTTGTTGATGAGCAGAAAAACCGCTGAAAGTCCCGAGAATGAAGTGGCATGTAAGTAAGAGAGAATGGAAGTGTTTAAATGAGAAATGAGAAAGCCAATAAACAATAAATAAACAATAATGGGGGCTGCGGCCAGGACAGTTTGAGTCTGGGCTGTGGGGACGCCTGAGGTTCTGTAGGAATGGTGGCCTTGTTCAGAGGCTGCAACTCAAGAAAATCTGCTTTTCACAAACTGGGAGAGAGGAAAGGGGCTCTGTCCTGTGTACCTCCTCCATACAAAGATTTGACAGCCAGTCTGAAAAGAGAGAAAACCGTTCAGAGGCCTCTCCCACTTGGGAATCCCTGCCTCTTACTGTGGCAAGACTGTACACACAGGTGGATCATATTCTAGATACTGATGCTGTCAAGGCAGAGCTAGTGGGAGCCAAC